ATAGTTTCAACTTTGCATAGCTAGTTTAATGCATCTTTTACAATAGTTCTCACTTTTCTATCAAAATTAGGTAATAGTGATGTCAAGAGTAGGTTTTTCTGATAGGCTGAAAGTAAGGAGTTAACAAAAAATACCTCTAGATTGACAGGAGAAGAAAGATTTGTACTAAATTGAGTATTAAATTAAATTTAGAAAAATGTTGTAACTATTAAGCCAAATAATAAGGAAAAAGGGGAGAGTTAAAAAAACAGTGAACACAAAGTAGACTATTTAAGCAACGAAAAACAGAAGTAAATTAATCCAAGTAAAGGAATGGGAATTCTAAATGAATAAATTCGAAAGTTAACAGAGAAATCATATTTATTCTTTATTGGCTTTTTATTGAATAAAGCAGTATGCTAGTTTTTCCTGAAATGTTTAAAACTGAATATCGTCCTGTGATTAATTTCTGACATAATCACAAATAAATAAAACAATGCTTGTATGATGGTATGCTAATACGTCTTCTTCCTGTTCTACCGTGAAAAAATAGATAAAGGGATTTCACATGGGGTGAGAATCCATAGTTGATGATTCTCGTATAGGTCAACTATTGAAGAAACTGACATCAGAAGATATTATGCATGTCTAGAAGGAAAAATTGAGTGATTTGAGTCAAGGAGATAGCAGCAAGATTGGATCTATCTAAAACAACTGTTTTTCACATTCTTTATGAACATAATCGCTGCAAGATGGGTACTAATACTTTCTTTCAGCAATTTAAAAACAACAGCATGTCAATGCAACTAAAAAACTGCAATATGAGTTTAAGGAGCTTGACCTCCTCCTCCTCTCGTATAGCTCAGGTTTAGTTCCAAGTGATTATTGTCTATTCTTCAAACTGAAATCGTCCTTTATTGGAAAGATATTTAATGATGGTGATGGTTTGAAAAGAGCTTATGAGTGACATATGGGCGGAGGTTGAAATCATCTTTTAGGAGTTTGTGTTTGAAGTTATCGGCATAGTGAACTGTTGCTAACCGCTTTATTGATAAAGTTATTATTAATCCTTCTGATGCAAGTTTTGATATCTTAGACTTTAAGATCTTTGTGTAAATCTTTGTTGCGGATGAACCAGGGTGCTCCCGTGATTTTTCGCAGGAAGGTGTTTTTTTGGAATGTTTGGCGTTTTGGGAAATCAGAGGCGGTACACCAGGCCAGTGAGGCATATGTGAGTATGGGGAGAAGAATTTATGTATAAATACGTTTTTTTTTTCTTGTGAGATCGAGATTTCAAGATGCATTGATGATCGGGTTGAGTTTGCGGGCAATACTGGTAGCTTTGCCGACAGCAGTTGAGATATAAGACTTCGCGTATAGTTTAACAGCTTCTTATCGGACACTTACGTCATGTGATTTATGTGACATTGGAACTTTGAAATGACTATGCATCTATTTATTATCATTTTGTATCATGAACTACGTTTAATACCACATTAATTAGGCTGTTTACTATGTTCTACATGTGATTTTTACTGTTTTTAACTTCGATTGCCTTTTGACTCCGCAAATTTTCACTCAGATACTCATTGGCTCACCGTAATTGTGTGTCTATGTACCATCTTTTCAGTAGACTCTGGACTTTTTATTAACTAAAATTCTGCAATATTTACTCCTCTATGTTTAACTCTGAACTGTACATACCATTGCCTTCTGATGTCTTCGCGTCTGTCATGACAAATGGTCACCCCCTTCTACATTATCATTAGTCTCCCAGCTTCTGTAATGCATTTCGCCTTTGCATCTCCATTAGGGTCAACCACTTCATGACAACAGGCACACAGCTTCCATAAATGCAAGCTAGGCTCGGTATACAGCCGAACTAGGAAAAGAGCAGTTATGGAACATTTTGAGATGGGAAAACCATCAAATAACCTTTGCAGGGGCACAGAGTTGCCATGTTCATTATGTGATGTGAAAAGTCTACTGGGGTATAAGGAGATCGTTTTGAAAAATATTCTGTCAGTATGTTCTCTCTTTTAGAAGTATAGGGTGCGGCAGCGTTCATAGCGTAATTTGACTTGCGCAGTACTATGATGTACTGCATGAAGGCGCCCCAGCTCATGCCACATTCGTGTACTAATGAGCTGCCATTTCGAGTGTGACAGTGCTGCGAGTGTGACAGCACTCCCATTTCGAGTGTGACAGTGTTCGAGCTGCCATTTCGAGTGTGACATTGGTGGAGTGCACGACATCGAGCCTTTGCTGTTGAAAGTTATTTCAAGAATAACTACTCTGTTATTGCTACTCAGCGTCTATTTCGGCAGCATTTCAACTTGGGACGTCATGGGAAAGTTCCAGATGGACGGACCATTGCGACAGACATTTCCAGGTTTGGTGACATTTCCTGGCTGCCTCGCTCACCTGATCTTTCATGTGCAGACTTTTTCCTTTGGGGCCACCTGAAGCAAAAAGTTTTCCGAACACGTTGTGCCACCATTCCCGAGTTGAAGGATCGCATCAGAACTGCCGTCGGCAATGTCCCAGGGAATACATTACGCTACGTTATGGCAAGCTTCCAATGCCACCTAGATGAATGTGTTGTGCAGAGGAGGCATCATTTGACAGGCATCATATTCAAAACGTAATCCACGCAATTTACAATGACTACACATTAGTAAATGGTATACCTTTAACTATTAATTGACATAAGAGGTAATAAATAAATTACAGTTACTGCCTTATGGTGTGTTTTTAATATCCTACTATGAATGCTGCCGGATCCTGTATATCAGGTTGGAAACCTTTGAATCTCCTACGTAGGAATATGAGTTATTAATCTTTCTTGCTTCGTCCTGTTAACCTGGAATTCGTGTTAACCGGACGTCATCCCTGTTATTACGCAGGTAAATCTGAAGTTGACTGTAATTAATTGTATTATTATTTCTTTTTTGTTACACATCTCGCCTTCAACTGTTATTGTAGATTTCCCGAACTGTGAAATTGTTCGTATAAATTCTAATCCAGAAAAATGCTGAGAGTTTTCAGCTCTTAATACAAAATTTAATTCCCAGCCCTCTTCGCGACAAAATTTCTACCTTATATGTATCTATAAACAAATAAATTAAATTTAAACTGGAAATTAAATATTTTCAGTTTATTATTTTATGTGCATTTGGAGTGTTATCACTAAAATAGATAAGAAAATAAACAAGTAGTTAGAAGAGAATGACATTCTGACATAGAAGTAAGAAGTAGTTGGAAATTACTGTTCCTTGGTTATGCAGAAATGAGGTAACTGATGTTTTATCGAAGTTGTGGTTTAATGTCTGATAGAGAACAAGGCCATTTTTCCTTTATTGTGGCGACAAATTTACTTGCTCCCTGGCACAACCATTTCAAATGCTGAGTTAAACACACGTTTATCTCGTCTGAAATAGACATTCACCTGCATTGTTATCATAAAAGATAATCACACATATAATTTTTGGTAAGGGAAACATATAAGGGTATCATGAAAGAATAAACAACTTCTGACGTTTGCTATCTGGTATTTATAAGAAAAAGCAAATATGCCACCAGCTTACTGTTACTTATTTGTACATTTCAGCGCTAGGAGCGTATATGTAGAATGATACTTTTTTTAATTGCCTTTCCTTGTAGCAAGTATGTTACAACAAGCATAAACATATATTTTTCTTTCTTTGTGCATATGAATATAGTTTAAAAGATTGTGGCCGAAATGCTTACAAGCGCGCACTTATTGGTTTAAGCTTCTACTATTCTTTTTAGTTTAGTAAACATTGATGCAAAAGAAGACATCTCGGTTCCTTCCAGTAACGTAATAACTGTTGAGAAGGTTGGTTGATTAACTGGTTATGGCCAAATATATGAGGCTGACTGCTTTAGGCAGCCAGTTTTCCATAGAAATTCCTCTACAAAGGCGTCCCTTCCCTTGGACAGATAGCCCTCGAGGGCTTTGCCATAATCAAATAAACCAACCCTATCAGTAATCAGTTGAAATGTGTCCATACAATGCTTTCTGAGGTAATAAAGTTTTTTAATATATAGCACTTTTCTCATGTGCTGGGTTGGTGATTCTTAGTACATATAACTTTTTTCTTTTGATCTATGGTTTTTGAACTGTCTACTAAATAATCTCAGATGGTATAATACATTATCAGATTAGAAACTGGTGTTACTTCCAATAATATCTCTGTAGATTTTATTTTTAAATATCTGTACTCTCATTGGCCTATATGAACATATCACTCTTTATTCATCCTCATCTAGACCTTTCATTATTTGCTATGTTTCTTTGATGTGGGCTTTATTTAATTGTTTTTGCATCATTAATAAAAGCCTGTTTCAGAAGACAAGTTATACATTTTATGTAATTGAGGCAACTACTTCTGTTATACTGATAGACATGTGCGACTCTTTTTTTTCTTCTTTTAAACTGAAGAACAATTACATCTTCTTAACATATATCTCATCGCCCAGATGGTGTAGTGGTTAGGGATGCCTACTGTGGTACCAAAGGGCCCGGGTTCGAATCCCAGATAAAACATGGATGTTTGTAAATGTATAGTGTTGGTGCGGCATGGCGGAGCCGAAAGTTTTCTCACGTGGATTGGTGGAAGGGAAGAGTGTGGGAGACCCCCGAACCCCCTCCGGGGTGCACTTCCTCAAATTTGGGGGTGGAAAATTATAAGTCCAACCTCTCTTTGGAGTAGGCTGTGACAACCATTGTTCCATGCAGTATGGTCAAGACAACAACATATAGTCAGTGATTGCTTTCAAAATGTTTGCCATGTTTATTTTATTTTATTTATTTAAGTTCCTATTAATTATTCAATATTTTTATGTTATTTCAGAAATAATTTTTAACCATGTATTCCTGTAATTGCTTGAATTCATTGATTCTCTAAAATTGCTATTTTATTATACAGATTTATAACCATATATTAAAATAATTATGTAGAGCAAAGCTAGAAAAATAAATTTAATATATTTTTTAGGCTATACTTGATGGTGAAGATACACATGACCACAGCAAGGAAAACAGTCATCACCATACGAATGGGGTATCATTACAATCCATGGAAAAAACAGCCATTTGGCGTGGTCTTGCTGCGCTTGGTGGCATTTTTCTCTTTTTTATAGCTGAACGCCTTCTAGGAGCTCTAACTACTTACAGGAGACGGAAAAAAGAAGCAAAGGTAAGCTAGTGTTAATTTCAAAAGGTTTCTTTTTGTTAAGAATTCAAAATATACAGTTTTTTCTCTACATGTTCATGCAACTGTTTTTGACTAACTTCTTGGATATTTCTGATATCTGTGCGAATTTTAAATGCTTAATAATGATTGTATGCATTCCAAACAATTTATTGCCTTAAATATATGTGTTTTTTAATTTAATAACAAACATTCTCTATTCTTAAAAAGCAACACAGTATATCTTATATGTATTGAAAATAAAACCTTGAATTAAAACTTATTTTAGATTATATTTTGTGTGATCATATCAAATTTTAATTATCCATAAATATCATCAAAATGAAATTATATTAAATGGTATTTGGTGGTAATCTATCATTTAACATAAACAGTAAAATTAATTTCTGAACCAGAGATTTCACTGCTGTTGTGCAAACATACTGTGATTATTTGTCTATATTATAAAATCAGGGTGATCATTTTTGTTTAAATGAACAGAAAGTTTTATTTATGGAGAGCAGTAAGAAATAAATGGATTTAACATCTCAGTGTGCATACTTGAAATGGAAGGAAACTAGTTTGTGATACTTTTGAAAAGATTTTCTTCAAAGGCTGTGTTATAAAGAAGACATAGACTATATTTTGAATGCTATCAAAAAAATCAGTTTGGCCTGCCTTATGCGGTTATGTGCCTCTTAGTCATTTTATTAATTGAAGCAAACTTGCCTCTAGTATGATATAAGGCTCTTCCTAAAAGGGAATTTTCTTCAGATTCGGGTTTTGATGGGGCTGGAGATTACTGGTTTTAACATAATGTCATGCCATCTCAGAGAGGGTTTGATAAGATATATTGAATATTCATAACAAAACATTAGGTACCAGGGATCTATCTCGTGTCATTGCCTCGGGCAGTTGATTTGAAAACAGTATTAGTTGATTGCTTTTCATTTAAAATAGACATCTGACATTTTAAATGAAAAGATTTAATTTTTCATTTAAAGTAGGCATCTGACATTTTAAATGTATCCTTTTTTTTGTCACTTTAATTTTAAAAAAAAGGGGGGGGGGCAAACAAGGATTGTTACTCTAAATTTACAGTTCAATAATGAGAAGGTTAAAAGTAAAATTTCAGATGACTATTAAAGGGCTTATCAACTTGATTCTCAGTTTTCTTAAATGGGCTTTTGCTAAATTTGTGATTTAGAAGATATAGCTACTCATTGAATCAAACCATGTCTTAGCTTAAGTGTTTAATAATAAGTACAATTTATTTTACAGGGACATTTACATTTACAATTTATTTTAGTATACTTCTCATATTCATATTACAGTTGGTTATTGGAACATTTTGAGATTCTGTCACTAATTTGATTCAATGATAATTACTCTGTATTGAGTTTGTGTTTTTTAAATAATATTTATTTTGAAATAAATATTGGCAGAATTGATACAATATTTCATAATAAGAATTTTCTTGAAAACTGTATTTGAAAACACTTTTTTTAGTTGTCCAGACATCCTAAAAACATGCTTCCTGTGTTACCAAAAGAAGAAGGTGCTAACAATGGAAATGTGGGTGAAAAACTTGCACAACCTAAGAAGAATTCCTATGATCACATTAAGGACAAAGATGAAAAAGAAACAATACAGAGTATGTCTGATTTGACAATATAAGTTAAGGATTAATCCATATAGCAAAGTTGCTGGTTTATATATATGATCACTGTATTTTCCTTTTTTTTTTTTCAGTTAGATTTACTATTTATGTAATTCACTGATTGTCTCATGAGAGGAATACTTTAATTTCAAATTATGCTAAACATATTTGATAAGTTTTTTTAAATACAGTATTTAGTGCCAATTAGTGAAGTTTCACCAAATATTTGTGGAATAGGAATCGTACCATTATAAAAAAATTAAAGATATTAAGTAATGGAGCATGAATTTATAACAGTGTGCATTGGGTTTTAGTCAGCTAACATAAAGGACTAACTAAACTCTTTGTAAATAATACTGAAATGACCATTTGTGTTTTATGAAAGTTTTCAGTTCTTATGCATTCGTTATAATTTAGCAAGATATCTGTTAAATCCAATTTCATAGAGATAATGCCTAGGATAAACCAAAAACCGAAATGTAACGTGTAATGAACTTCTTTATTTGTGTTTAAGAGAGAAAAACCTGATTTTCCCTTAATTCTTTTAATATTTGCCATATTCCTTTATAATTCCTTTATATATATGCTTTATTCCTTTAAATATCAGACTGATTAAGTAGGTGTCTTATATGCTTCTTCTCATAGTTATATAACCTGTTTTATTTAAATTATGAAGGCATGCAAAGACAGGAGAAATAATTTTTTTTCTTTTTAATATTTGTAATTATATTGGGACATCATTACAAGTGCTAAGCACACCAAAATTGCAGTAGATCAATATGTTATGAAGAAAGCAAATTATCAAGATAGAAATATAATTAAAAAAGTTTTAAAAACTCTTACAAATGAAATCCACATACATACTATACACGTACATATATACCTACTTGAATATGATCATTCTCAGAGATTTTAAATTTTAAATTTCATGTTCATATTAAATTACAATTTTATGAGCAGTTTTGTTATTTTTTTCTTTAACAAAATAGCCATTAAAAAAAAACCACATTTTTAAAAACAGATTTTTGAATTGACTGTAAGCAGAGTTTCCTTTAGAGAGATTATTTTTCTTTTTAGTTTGCCATATAGAATATTTTTCTTTTTTTTATTATATTATTCCTTTTTTTTTTCAATATTTTTAAAACAAAATATGGAATGCAAAAATTTCTAGTTTGTTGATGATAAGAGAATCTTCTGTTATTTAGATCAAGGTTTGGAAAGAATCATTTTCTTTTTTGTTACATTTTCTGTAGTGCTCCAAACTGAAGCAACACCTTCAAAGAAAGGCTCGAATCAATCAGTTCATGAAATTGGGTTCCACGGCCGATCCAGCTTTAGCCTTGAGCCCGAGGTGAGCGTAGCTTATAGACCAGATTCTGAAAGTTCTGTCATTGTGTCTGAACATCATGGCCATGGGCATGGTCATAGTCATGAAATACCTCAATCGGTAACCGCAGTAGCATGGATGGTCATCATGGGAGATGGACTTCATAACTTTTGTGATGGCCTAGCAATTGGTATGGATTATACTTCATTAGAATATTTCATAAATGTATCTTGACTTGTATTACTGGAAGATAAATTGTAGATATTGACATTCCAATATTTTCTGTATTGAATTGAAACATTTTAAGAATATATGAAAAGTCCTTTATTATTTTTTAGTGATTCAGATATGCAATATCCTTTCCTTTCATTCGATAGTTGAGTTACATTCTTTTGTTTGTTACAAAGGTAAAAGTTATTATATATTTTTAATTAATGCTTGATTTATTAACAAATCAAATACTGATAACATTGTCTCGGGAGTTTTTAAATATATCACTGATCCCAGAATTGTTTGGATATATTATACTATTTCCAATAAACATATACACATGTGTTTATTATATGATTGTTTTGAGGTATTATATTGTATATGCTTACATTTTTTCCCATTGTAATGCCTGTTATCTTTTAACACATTTGGAGTTTATAAAAGGCATCTTGGTATGTATTGGAAATAATCCTGGGATTATGAAATTCTGAAGTTTTTGTATTTGTTTGATATTTGTAAAATTCTGAATATATAAAATAAATTCACTGGGTTAAAGTTACTCCTATATTTATGGCCGATAATTATAAATTATGCAACCTTAGCTGATGTTGTACTCAGCAAAAGATTTTATTGAGATTTTTAGTGACAAATATTAGTATGATTCTGCAGTAACAATTTCTAGTCATTGTCTAGTCTAAAAATGCTTTTTGAACGCCTCAGAAAATCATAAGTACTTTATTAATATTATGTTATCTTTATAATATTTGAAATGGTAAATCAAAACATCATGTCAGTGAATCTGCTTCTCTGTTGTTGTGCTGTGTGTTCAGACAGAAAATGCAGCTCCTTTTCTTTATAAAATTACAATTTCAAATTAAAAGCTAGTCAAAAAAAGGTAACTCTCTTAACACTCCGGAAACTATGAAAAATACCTCCCTACACTCCAAAAATTAAAATTAAAAACTCCAAAATTATTCTAGAAATAAAATGTAAACTTAAATGCCTTAAATGATTAATAATGCAAATTTTTAGATTCTTTTTATTTATTTATTTATTTTTTGTTAAATGTAGCAAAGTGTTAGTTTAAAAATATTTCAGTGGGATAATGCGTAAACTTTTAAGATAATTTACCTGTAGTTTATTCTATCTTACTGCTGTAGATTATGATTATGCACTTATGATTAGAATTGAATTTCCATTCCTTTTCTTAAGTGCTGCTATGCCAACCCTGTGCCGCTTCGCTTTGCAGATGCCTACATCTTACTTTTAAAATCAATGTACGTAAAAATTATCATATTGTAATATGATTTGATAAATCCCTTGTCTATAAAATTTGATCTGATGTGAATTATAAATGGAACAAAATTATATTTTGAAATAGCTATATCTGGAACTTTGTGATTCATGCATCCATCTACCTGACTTCAAGCTGCAGCACATCAAAATATTCTGTAGAGACATTAGATATTTTTTAGAAGCAGGAGAAGTGAAAAATTAGCAAAACCTTGGGCGGGGGGGGGGGGAATCGAACCACGGATCTCTGGAATATGCGGTATGCTTGAATTCTGTAATAACTAAGGTGTACCATAGTATATTGGTCAAATCACAAAATCTCTTTAAGCCATCCTCACAGGAAAAAATATATATATACTTATGTGGGTGTTCATGCAAATCAGTTACATTACATCAAAGTAACTGATAAAGAATCAGTAGTATTGCTAAATAATTTTCAAATCACAGGTTGTTCAAACCAGATTTGCTAAGTTTTGTATGGGAATCAAATAGCACCTTTTTGTATTATGTGACCAAATGAACATTGCTTCTAAAGAGGTTATCACATCTAGCGACAGTCCCTGCTAGATGGGACATTTTTGAGAAACGAGATTCTGGTAGCACTGGTTTAAATGGGAGGATTCCTAGAAAAAAGAGCCCTGCTGGAAGCAAAGTCCCGGCTAGCTACGTAAACGATGTACTGGCTACGCAGAATTTTTTGAAACCTCACCGAAAATGTTTCGGCTGCAGCCCAGTCCTGCGTAGAGATCAGATGAAAGTTCTGCTTTTGAAGGGTCATGTGATCCCAATCTGAGCGATAATCGATTACTGTTTGGCATTCAAGTCTTCGTAGTAAGTGAAAATGGTAACCTTAGCTATGTAGATTTCCTTGAAATGTGTGGAATCTGAGAATTGTCCCATTTGACTTCAAGTCCCTCGTAGCCAAACATAATGTGATTGGGACTTAAATATAAGAAAAAAGAAAACCAATACCAAATTCTGTAAAGATAGATTTAATCTTGCTTGATAATGCACAGTTGATTGTCAGATACATTAAATTCCTTGTTTACCACTGTAATAATATTTGACTGATTAAGAAATCCAAATTAACCGATTGGCCAGCTTAAGTTTGTAAATTAGTGGACTTATTTTACATGAAAGAGTATTTTTTTTCCTTCTTTTGTTTTAATTTTTTTTTAGTAACCTGCACAGTTCTGCTGTTTAAAGATGAACTATTTATCATCATTCATTAATTTTTCTTATTCTGTATATTTAAAGAACCCAGTTTTTTTTTTTTTTTTTTTTTTTTTTTTTTAGTTTCATGAATTTGAGACACTTTTCATGTTATATGCATTTTGCTGGACATCATTAATTTGCATGATGTTTTTATAAAACTTTTTGTTATAAAATTACAATAATCAAACTGCAGTCTGAAAACTTTTTTGCAGTCTCCTGGCCCCCAGAGGCTCATTGACTTTGTTTAAGTTTCATTCACTAGCTTATTTACCACATTATTCTAAAGATTCTAAGAATATGTAGACAAGTACTTTTATAAATTTGTTATATTATTGCATTTTTTTTTATTATTATCAGCTTTGAAATGTAAAAAATCTTACACCATGACTTTGGAGCTCTAAATATTGCTTTCTGCCTGGAGTCTGGCAAAGATAATTCCTATAAAATCTGCTTTTAATCGAAATATTTAGATTCTTGTGCATATTATTTAAATGGAATTTTTTATACAAAAATGCTAAACAAAATTGCTAAAGTAAAAATTAAAAATAAGTGCAATATTAGTAATAATAATGTGTATTTAAATTTTAAAACTATTTCTGCACAATAATGAAGTCACAAATTTAACGAGTTAAATATCAGTGCTTATTTACCTTTCTTATACAGTGTGTTTTATAATGAATGACACAAAAAGAAAGCATACTGTGAATGCTGTAATTACAGTATTTTAATAAATCAAATTTAAAATGAAACTATAACTATCCAAGTAACTATATATCTTCTATGTGAGCCCTTCTGGTGGCACAGCAAATATTTATGCAGTATTCTGGTTCCTGCCACACTTGATGGAATACCCTTTGTGCATGACAACTTTGTTTTTAACAAAACCCCAAAAGAAAAAATCACAAGGAATTAGATCTGGGGATCTCAGTGGCCAACAAAGAAATGACATAATGTTTGACTCAGCACAGCCAGTCTACCAATGGGATAGACTACCATTCAGGTGCTGCATACATTTTTATGCCAACGTGTTGGAGTATCGTCTTGCTGCAGAATGAAGCACAGAACTGCTTCCTTCAACTGAGAACAACTCTGACAGCATATCTTGGTAAATGGACTCGTTAATAAATTTTTTCATGAAGAAAAAATTACCCAAAACCCAACTTTTGAAAATAGCACAGAAAATCAGAAAATGTTCACTTTTGGAGAATCACACTCGTGTTTCGTTACACTATGTGCCCCCAAACCGTAAATTATGATGATTAAGTTTGCCAGAAACATGAAAAGTGACTTCATCCATAAACAAAACCATCTACCTCCATCTTATCTTACAAATTCGCACGGGAAGCTTTACACAATGGTTTGTCGAAAGGTTTTAATGATTAAGACACAATAACACACCGAACAAATACTAATTCAGAAGTCAAACAACAAAAATCAGTGTTATATTTTCAAATTTTCACAGGACTAGTTTCGATGGTTCGGTAAAACCATCGAAACTAGTCCTGTGAAAATTTGAAAATATAATGCTGATTTTTGTTGTTTGACTTCTGAATTAGGTTTTTAATGCTTGCACCATCTGAAAGGTGTATGGCCATAATTGTAGACATTTCCATTATACTTACCACAGCATTACTTGAGGCACATTCAGTTCAGAGCTCATATGACATGTTGATTTTGTGGGACTTCGTAAAACACTTCGCAGTTTTCTTCAGCCTCTTCAGTTTTAGCTGCTGTTTGTGTGGTTTGGTTTTCTTACAAAGCAGTCAATGTCCTGAAACTGCCTCCAATGCCTGAAACAATCAAGAAAGCAGTCAATGCCTGAAACACCATTCAATGTTGTGACAATGCAGTGGGTTGTTACCAAATTTCGTGCAAAAATGTCTTGGAATGATGACAAACAACAATGCTTTGGCATATTCTAAAACACAGTACATTTTCTCTTGTATGAATGATGCCATTTTGGTTACCAATGCCTTTAGCAGCAATTTCGTTACCAGAAGATTTTTTGCTGTCGCCAGATAAGACGCGCATAATTTTAATTTCAGAATTTATTTGTTTCAACTTAATAAATCAATACAGAATTTTTGCAATTATTCTTTTGGTCTCATTCAATATGAAACACTCTGTATTATAAAATTTGAAGTTGCTTACATGACGTGAAAATTTCTAAGTTTTTAATATGCATTATAAGCAACATGCATTTTTTATAAATACTAGAATAAGCTTTCAGCTATATTTGTATGAAAAGAAGGCTAGCATTCAAGACTTCCCATTTAATTAACTTTCACATCATTCTGACTTTTGTGTGTAAATAAAATGTTTCACTTCAGTACATCAAATGTGTCACGGTGGGCCACCTGTGACACTTTGGAAAACCTCTCAATATGAAATGCATGTGATTTGAATATTTTGGTTGGACTCATGTAACATAAATGTTTTAGGGCAGAGTTTTTTTTTTTAATTGGATCTCTTGTAGAAGGGAATTAAATGTTTTAATATTCATTTTACTAATATGTAATCAATTCATTCTTGCATAAATTAATCCTCTTTCTTTCCTTCTCATTTTAGGTGCAGCATTTGCATCTGGAGATGCAGATGGTATCAGCACAACTGTAGCTGTATTTTGTCATGAACTGCCTCATGAACTTGGTATGCTGTATTTAGGATACATTTATACTAAATTTATCACTTTAAAGAATCCATTATTTTCATATATAATGTAGTATTTAGAGTATGATAATGATATGAGTACTTACAGTTTATAAGATATTTCATTACCAATTGTTATAATACAACCTGCTGTTTTAATCTGCAGTCGGACTTTTTCTAGTGTGCAATATGTTTGTGTTTAGTTTTACAAGTTAATTGCTTTACAAAAATGTTTATTCTACATAATTTGATCTGAAATAATGATTAAAAAAAAAAAAAAAAAAAAAAAAAAAAAAAAAAAAGAAAAAAAAAAAAAAAAAAGGCCAGAATGAGTTTTAATTGTGAGAACAGTAAATTATATTATCACATACATTAGCATTAATGTTGAATAATATTATATGATATCTTGACATTATGACTTTTGCATTTGTTTAATTTTCTTCCAAAAGGGGGCAGTTTTTTGTTATTTTCAGATTACTCATTTTCTTTTTTTTACTACTTTATGTTACCAGATTAGTTAGAATGTTAAATAGTCATTGCTTCACCAATAATTAAAATAAATAAATAAATAAAAATTTGAAAGTTTTCAGATTTTACATTATGCCCGAAGAAGCAGTTTTTTAATGTTTTGTATGTTACCTTTATTTATTAAATATCATGTTCTTTGCACTTAAAGTATAAAATTCAATTCAACAGCAATAGCAGAAAATAGTTTTAAAATGAGCCTATCTTTTTTTCAGTACGCAGTCTCGCACACTGAAGATTAAAAAGTTCTTTTTTTTTTTCCCTTACAGTGTTGCATGCCTCGCTTTGAAATCGTTGAGTTTGTTATTAAAAAATTCTTTAATGTCTGACAAAATATGAAATAGATACTAAAAAAAAAATCCAAATTAAGGCTTCTAGATGCCCATATTTGATGGAGGATTACGTTATTGAAAATTGTATAGCTGTAAGTACCGTTTTCTCACAATGTGAGAAATTATCACACAGTGCTAGAAACGTACATACATTTATGTAGATTCTTCATTAATTAATTTCCTAATATAAAACAGGGCTTTAATATTTGGTGGCAACAATTTGAAAAGTGAACCGACATTTCAATGCAAAATGCCAAAACGGAGTTAATAGTCCTGGACAAATTGCCTCTTTGGATTAATAAAATTCAAAAATAAGAAATAGCATTTCTGATATATCAGAATATGATTATTTTTTTAGTTACATTAGCTAATGGTATAACTACGATATTGTAATTTTGTATGTTCCTGTGTGTGTAACGGGGGAGATTTTACTATTTTATAAGATTTAGTATAAAGTTTACTCTTTTATTTAATGCAAATATTAGCATTGCTTATTTAATTCTTAGCATTAATGAAAAGGCTTTTGCTTTTGCCATATGTGACTTGCTTTGCAGGAAAAGCTTTTAATTGTTTTTGTTCATTAACTGCCATGAAAAGCAGAGCATTTTCTGTGTGCTTTTCATACTTACCTGTCAAATCATTTATGTTGGCTCAATGTGTTCCTGATTTTCATTCCTTATTTCTTATATTTTTATATTTGTATGGATGTGTATTTAATGCTAAGCACTTATATATAAGAAACATAATTAAATTTTTGTTTTGTTTTGTTTTGTTCAGCTTTTATTCATTTTGTTGAAAAGAAACTGCTATACATAAATACTCAAAGTTTTTCTTGATGTAAAAACTCTTTACTGTACATTGATTTTGCTAAATATAATTATTCAAAAGTTGCAGTTATAAATCCTTTGTTCAACATTTATTGCATTAATGCCTAATTTTGCATATTTTGAAAAATGCCACTTCTCACTTCGTTTGTTTAATATATGACTGGATATACATAAGGACTATTATGTGAAAATATATCAGTTTCTGTTCAAATTCCAGTGGGTTCTTTCTGTTTTAAATTAATTGCCACATTTGTTGTCTCATAAATAATGTTCCCTCCTAGTCAAGCCACTTACACTGCCAGCACAAGGGACAACTAAATAGAAATGTATTTCATTTTGAATTATTAATATGTTTAATATATGTGGAATACTAACTGTACTAAGTTCTTACTAAGTTCCTAAGATGCCAAAAATGCTGGAGCTAGGTCTGCTCATAGACATATGTGGTCAAAGATGGTCTTTTGGTAGAAATTTTGTGAAGGCGGCCTAAAAAGTCGACCTCTGATTAGAATGTTATTTTTTCAAAACACCAAAGATGGAAAAATTACACTCAAAATAATGTGAACATAAATGAAAGGGTTGACATTAAATGATGTCCAATTCCATTTTTGTGACCGTGGTGACATGGAGATTCAATTGTGCAGAAGATTCTTGTAATGCAGAAAGATAATTGCTAAACATTTTGCCTAACCTTGCCTTTTTCAATCCCATAGATGTACAAAAATATCAGAATCGACTACAGTAAAACTCTAATTATCCAAATTAATTGGAACTGGACCCCATTTGGATAATAAAAATGTAGATTATTGGATTTTTTCTGAAGATAGGGTCTATGCACACTTTAATTATTGCATGTACATACTGTATGTTGAAAATGGAAGAAAAACTATTTTTTAAAGAAAAAGAGGTTTTAATTAATTAATTAAAATGGAAAGGCAACACTTTTACATGCATGTTATATAGCATACCGTACAGTAGTTACATGTGCTAAAAGCCATTACTTGCTGAATATCTTGGTCAAAGTAAGGCGTTTGACTGTCTTCATCCATTTTCTGGCAGCCAAGTCATGCATTCGCTTGACAGTGAGAAGTTGCATGTGGTCACACTCGGGCTGACGCTCCATTCACTTAAACGCAATTCCAAAGGCCGGTAGTAGCTTCACTAGCTGATGGTCTTGTGTCTGCTTCAACTTTGACATTAAGGTCATCTTCTTCCTTGACACTTTCTTCTCTCACACTTTCAATAAGTTCATCATTTAGAATTAGGGTCTGATGAATCACATATCATACATTCTGCTGTATCCTCAGCATTAACTTCTGAACATCGAGGAATTTCCAAAAGAATGTTTCTATTTCTCAAGTGACATGTCATCCTCATCTTCTCCTGTCTCTTCCATTTTATTAAGCTTCTTTTTCCCCTTCTCATTTTCATTTGATTCTGAAAGCGGTTTGTATAATCAGAAATTCGATTAGTCGAAGTTCAGATAATTGTAGTTTTACTGTACCAGTATAGATGTATATAAAAGAGATCAAAATAATATGTTTCTTCTAATGCTGGAAAGGAAGAATAGTTTTGGTCTCTTTAAGATGCATACTCTGTAGCAATCATGACATTAGTATGTGCATAATGTATTTTATGTGAGTGCAAAAATACACTAGTAATTCTTGATATCATATCATCATTATATATTCATGCTCATAATAATATATCAATTCTTTTAAATTTTCACTCATGAATTCCTGCATGATTGACTGTAAACTTTTATCATCAATATATTTTAGCTTCACAAACTATGCTGTAGTTCTGTTTTTAATGTAATACCTTGTATAAAGTTTGTAATGATGGAAATACTCGTTATGAGCTACTCTTCAAACTTGTAATGAAACCATAAATGTTATGAATTTTTTAATTTTAGGGGACTTTGCGATGCTACTAAAAACAGGCATGAAGGTCAAACAAGCCTTGTTTTATAACGGTCTCTCTTCTGTTCTTTGTTTTGTGGGGATGGTGATAGGTGTTTCTTTAGGTAATGTTCATTCTGCAACTAGTTGGGTCTTTGCAGGCACTGCTGGAATGTTCCTTTATATTGCACTTGTTGATATGGTAAGAACATATTTTTAATGAATCTTTATATTGCAATTATCGTATTAAAATGAACTAAGTATTTTTGGTAAAGTAATAATCTTGCATTACTATCTATTAAAATAATTTACCTTAAGTTTTTAGGTTATTCTTTAACAGTGTTTTCCCTATCAATTGTCATCTAATGAAATGAAAAATATTAAAAAATTTTGTTGAAAATTTCTTGGGTTTTTGAAAAAATGATAACATTTATTGACCTAATTCAGAAGTCAAACAACAAAAATCAGCTTTATATTTACAAAATTTTCACAAGACTAGTTTCGATGGTTTTACCGAACCACCATCCTCAGCTGCAATACCGCAAAAAAAAGCCGTGGCAATTGAGACGTAGACAATTTCCTGTAAAACTTGCCTTTGCTATGACCATCCATAAGCCTCAGGGCCAAATGCTTAAGCGTGTTGGCATTTTTTTAACTGAACCTGCACTTGGTATTGCAGCTGAGGATGGTGGTTCGGTAAAACCATCGAAACTAGTCCTGTGAAAATTTTGTAAATATAACGCTGATTTTTGTTGTTTGACTTCTGAATTAGTATTTATTCGGCGTGTTATTGTGTCTTAATTTATTGACCTGTTACCAATATATATATATACAGCAATTGCGCAAGTAGTAATAACTTGTATTCACACTAAATGGATTTAAGATCATATATATAATATATATAATATATAAATATTATATAAATTTTAAGACTTTAAAAACTGGTTTGCTCAAAGTAACAAGACTGTATCATCATGTTTTGTAGTTTATTGTATATAGAACAAAAATAATTTGTTTATTTATTGTGTTATTTTCATGAGTTTTTCATCATAAATTGAAGCAAAAATGGAGTGTATAAATGTATTAGCTTGCAGGAATTCTTGTAATCAACAAAACATTGTTTATTTCATGAAATTTATAGATTGAAAATTATTTAATGTTAAAGATATGAGGTGTACACATAAGAAAGTGAAAGAAATTTTACTGCTCTCCGAATCATAGAATAGATGTTTTCTTAGTTTACGTATTTGATAATAGGTTGTAGTGTGCTTATAAATTGTTCAAAGTCCTTTCTTGATAGTTGGAATCATTGCTGTAGAAGATTTTACACCCGACTTAGTTTCATTTCTGATTTCATTGTTTTAATTTAATGCCATGGAGTTTGTATCTTTTAAATTTATTATTAATGTATCTTCTTAGTTTTTCTTTTTCTCTCTCCCTCTTTTTTTTTCTTTTTTTTCTTATGAATAGAGTAAATGAAGGCTAAGGATTATATGGTGTACCAACTGCAAGAACGAAAGATTTAGCAAGCTAATGCATAATGATAATTTTGATTAGTATCTTTACATTGACTTAAAACTTTATGTGAGATTTTAACATGAAAACTAAGGGTTGTCATACGCTTTGTTTATGTATGGATTGCGAAGTGATGTTCTAGCATAGATGTTTTCCTTGATCCTTTACTTTTAATGTTTTCCTTTACTTTTAATACCCTCAAAGTTATTAAAATTTGTTAGATATAAATTCTACATGACTTCTGGATTACCAGAGCTGCTCTAACTCCTATATAATATGAAGGACATTGGTTTTATTTTTCAATTTTTATCACTGGTACCAGACTGTTACTAGGGAATTTTTTAACTCCTGTATGTTGTAAGGAGGAGCCATGAAGATTCATTTTCATTTTCCAATAGATATTCAATGGAATGGATATGTAGAAAATAAGGCTTCTAAGAAAATGAATTAATTCTTGTTTATGTTTCTCAAAGCACTTTTACAATGTAACAGGTAGCATAGTATCACATGATAGGATGGACTATGATATTTTGTTGAGTGATAAATGCTAAATTATGATACATACTGAGGATCCCAGAATTTTTTGCTGGTATTGTCCAAACACTGCATATAATTTTCTTTTATAACGTTAATATTTTTTATTATTTGTTTTACTTTCTATAATGAGTCCTCATACCATCTTCTAAACTAGAAATATGAAGTCATAAACCTACCATATCATGATACAGATGAAAAAATAATGAATTAATTTGATCAGCTGATTTTTTATTCATTGATCTTGTACTAACTGTAATGACTCCATACATACTCTCATATTAAGCACTTATAGTATTGAATAGCTTTTAGTATAGGTATTCTGATTACCATGTGGTTAACTGATTATCCATATTCAAAAGCTTCTGGTAAAATATGTTATGATGCATTACTTCTTCTGTTATCATAAAAGTTATATAGAATATCATAAGATGTCACTCTAGTACTTTTTAAAATAAAGTTGATAATTTCATGAAGTTCTAAGCAGTTAAGAAAAACGTGTATTTTAGGTAACTGTACTTTTAGGTAAAAAGATTTGAGAAAGAATTTGCAGCTTTAAATAATTTTTTAATTCTTGTTTTCGAGCATACCTGAAGATTTTTTACTCAAATTTAGGGAGAAACTATAACTATACTGTTTGCTTTGGTGATCTTCGGATCTGTCTTGAATAAAATAGCACATATTATTAAACATTTAGCTAGTCTCTGAAGAGTATTTTTTATATGTATTTGTGTATGTTTAATATATAAAAGTATGGGACTTTTTGTGTGCAACTTGAAACATAATGAATATTTTTACTATACAGGGGCCATATGTAAAAATTTGGATTTTGTATTTAAATTTTTGGCATTATATGTGTTTTAAAAAGTGTATCTTAGTTTATAAAAATTTTGAGATTGGATTTAGATATCAGGCAGGTTTTAAATTATAAAATGAAATGGGTCAATAACTTAATGGATGGCAGTTAGGGAATTTGATTAGTATTTTATTAATATTAATGAGTTAAAATAAGTATAGAGATTGTAATCTGAAATTTGAAACTGAATAAATGAAAGAAAATTATAAAAAAACTAGATATATAATATCAAAACTTCAGATTATAATGGAAGGCCTCGAAGAAAATTTTCCGCCAAGAATTTTTTTAAAATTGAAATATGTGTAAAATTTTTAAAATACAAAAAAATCATGAAATAAATTGCTTCTATTCTTAAATAAAATTAATATTTATTCAAAATAATTCTTGCCAACATCTGAACCTTAATATTTACTGTTTAGGAACATTAAAACTCTTCTGAAAAAGTTTAAATTTTAAGTTAAAATTTAAAAGCTCTGGCACTTTCTATATTTTATTCATGGATATAAAATGGTATAAAAAGATGGATACTATGAAAATATATTATTGTTTGAAAAAAAATTGAAAAAAGGATGTATGTATATAGATTTTTAATCTATGTACTGCTGCAAAACTTCATCATAATCATTATATTATATTTTATTAAGCGATAAATTAAGGATTATGGCACTTGTTTCTGTTTTATTAATTGTTTGAATTAATTGTTATTTTATTAATTGATTCAAAAATTTTTAAAAAAGGGAAGTATATAAAGAGATTTCCAATCTTATGTATACAAAACTTCATTATAACCATTAGATTTTATTTTATTAATGATTGCAAAGTATTGTTAAGAAGTCTATATGAAACTCTTTTTTGAATAATTAACATAGTTCTGTATTTGGCAGTGCACTTTTATAATACTGAATATCCTCCCTCCCAAACACACATCAGTAACTCTTCTTTTCTTCCACTGGAGCCTTGCATAGGAATTCATATACTGGGAAAATTATTTGCAAAATAAATGAGCTGAAATATTTGAAATGAAAAAATCTTTTATGATGAAGTTGAAAAGCTTTCATCATAAAAGAAGGAATGCGATGTTAATTATATTCAGAATCTTATGATTATATTATTAATATGTGAATTGTGAAGGTATTTTGTATGCCATTTGGGAGTTTCATGTGCAATATAAAGTATAGGTATTATGAGATTACATATACAGCCATTCGTCTTTGGCTGACAATAAGGTATGTGTTGGATGTGATTTTATTGAAGTTGAAAACAGTAACACTTCGTTAAGGGCTGGAAGATAATATGGATGACATAGGAAAAGCAAAAGTTGTTTTAAAATTATTTCTTTTAATGAAACCATTAGCCATATATTTTATTATAATTGTTATTTTTTGTACAGACATAAATCAAGTAACTGATGAAATTGCTGCATTTTACAGTATATTTTGCATTTTGTTTTCATCTTTAAAACTTTTCTAAACATTCTTGTCTACTTTAAGTTTCCCTGTTGTTGCTAAACTCATTACTCATTTGGAAATTCTTTTACAGAACACCACCAGGGCGATTGTTTTTCATATTAAAATAAGGTTTTGTGCTTCATGTTTAATAATTCTTGGACTATTATATAATATGCAGCTTAATATGACATTTAATTAGTCATATCAAACATACAAATGATACCGAAAGTCATCTAGGCAAGGCTGTGGCATGCCTCCAGGGAAATTAAATTTTTTTAAAACAAAGATGTATGAAACCTAAGTTGTGGTGGTGCCTTCCATTGAAATGAAGCTTTGGCATTTAGGATCAGTGAGGCTCGGGGGCTAGCACGTCGCGCTGCTGCACCACAGGTCAGAAGTCGGATCCCTGGGCTGGACAAGGTTGACTCAGCCTTTCATCCCTTGAATGGGTTGATAAAATGAGTACCAAGTTTGTTTGGGGACTAAATACTGGGGGTCCTGTGACAAGCTGACGACTTGTCCAGGGCATATACTGACATACTCCGGGGCCCAAGGTCAATAAAACAGATTATGGGACACTGCAGGCTGTGGCTCACTAGGGCTTTTTTTAAAAAAAATTTTTATTTAGGATCAGTATTTAAGGAAAAAAAGTGTATGGTCACCTTTTTTTTGATACCCTTTGTACCTGGATGTACGTATGGCTTAATTTAGAGTTTTGAATCATAAATCATTTGGATTTTTGGCATGGTTCCTCTCTGTTAATTTATATCAATGAAAGCAGGGGATTTGGGGGGAGGAAGGGGGATAGATTGCACCAGAAAATTTTGGTAGTGCAGCTTCTTGTTATGT